GTGCAGCTACTTTGACTCATTCTATAGTTTTATTTCAATAGAAAAACATACCTTCTCTCCGGTTATCGTCTATGGAGATATGGTTCTTACAAGTAGTTAGCAACTGACGAGGTGGGTAACTTCTGCATGGGGAATGATTCATTCTGGGCTAGGAAGGATAAAAACATCACTTAGAGCAGCTGGGAGGTCAGCAGGTGCACACCTCTGAGACTGTGCTTTCTGTACATCATGAACTCTCTGCAGAGTCCGTTTTGAAATAGGTATTTCTTCTCTAAAGTCTGATAAATTATATTCCAGCTCTAGAGAGTGAGCAGCTGGAATGTCACATTCTTGGATGTAGATTTTCACAGTACAGAGAGGATTAAGTTCTAAATGTCTCAGCTGCTAACGGCCCCTTCAGACTTCCCCAAATGAAGAACAAAGAAGGAATGAACTTTCCCTGAAGCAATTCATCAGATCTACTTGGACTCGGTGACATCCTTCTTAAGCTGAAAAGGAGAAGCTGCCCCAAGTGATTCAAGGGTTTGCAGCTGCTTGGGATATTGAAAAAAGATGTTTCTAGTCTTTACCACGCTTTTCACATGGCCATACTAGAGTTCACCCACTAGTTATTATCCATCAATAATCAACAGTTAGGAGCTGAGGAGATGGATCTGTTGGTAAAGTCCTTGCTACAAGCATGAACAGCTGAGTTTGGTTCCCAGAACCTAAGTAAAAGCAAGGCAGCACAACATATCAGGACCTCGAGAGACAGCAGATAAGACAGCGCTGGGACTTGTGGCCAGCTAGGCTGGTGGAATCAGTAAGCTCTGCATTTAGTGAGGGACCCTGTCACAAACAGTATGTGGAGAGTGGTCAGGTAATGACCCGACTTGCGGGTCCTAGTAATTCGTGGGGGCGAGGAGGACCACAACCTGAGAAAGAAATGGGTGAGAGAGAAAAAAGGACTCAAAGAAGCAATTGCTTGTCAAGAGCCATCTATTTGAGCGCAAAGCGCCTTTTTATAGTATGTTTTACAAGGGGAGGGGGTAAGAGGGGCCAGGTGGTGGGAAAGTACAGAATCTTCGTGGCCTGTGCCTTGAAACATTTCATGGTCTACATGGCACACTGCCTTGAATTATGGTCTACCTGCTTTTCTCAGAAGATACGGTACACTGCCTTGAATCTCTCTGCAGCTGCCAAACAGGATCTTGTGGTTGCCAAGCTGCAGGGGACATTGTGCAGGTGGGGAAAGGTAGGGGGTGAGGGTAAGGGGTCCTGGCTTCTGGCAAGGTAAGATGTCTCATGTGACCTGTGGCTTTCATGTGCATGCACACATACACACACATCTGACAATTGTTGAGCCCTAACACTATCTTCCACTTTTTAAGTGTTCGTTGGGGCCTCGACTGTGCTCTGCATTTTATCTGCACACACCTGCCCTTAGAGGAGAGGTTACTTTTACGTTTTGTTTGTCCTGTGCAGCATGAGACATCTGTCGAACCAGCCTTTCACACCATCAAGCTGACAAGCCTGTCACGGTTGTTTTCTCAAGTCTAATGGGTGGTTGTTTTATCTTAGCTCTGACTGCTTCTGCTTCAGTGCTGCCTGTGAAACTTACCTTCTGAGTGTGGACTCACTCAACACGGTGATGACCCCATATCAAATGCAGAATAGACTGTTTTATGACCTGCTTAGCATCATCTACTGCTCATGGTGTATGTAGTAGCCTTCTTATCAAGTTTCTGATGAAACTGTGGCCCATCCAATTGCTTTACTCTGTGGCTGTCATACCCTTCCATCTTGTTGCTGTTCAATCTTCCTCCTCCACAAGGACCTGATTTGAACGTCCTCAGCTCAGACAGGCATGACCACAACGGCCCCTCCTATAACCGGCAGACCTCTGTTTCTCTGGGCTCCTCACTCACTCATGCAGCCTTTAATAACCTCCTTTGACACATGATATTTCTTTATCTTCTCTCCTTGCCAGCTGCATTGTTGTGACTCTTTGGAGCCTGTTCTGTCTGATTAATGTCATTTTCTTTCTCAATCCCTTTCCTAGTCTCTGTGGGGGGGTATGGTGTCCGAGGCATGACTACATGTGAGTCATGTGTATTGGTGTTAAGTTCATTTCCTCATACCCTGTAGGTCTCCCTGCAGCTCTGTGTGTGCTGGGGGGCCTAAGCCCTGGTCTTCACTGTGGCCGTGGTATGACAGAAGTGACAGCTAGAGAATGCACGTTTGGGTCAGGTCTCGTCACCCTTGTTTTGCAGAGCTTAAAGTTACGCCTTCTCTGGTGAGGTTTTAAGGATGCTTTTTGTCAGCACTGTGACTTACTTTCATGCCAAACAGGAGTAGCAATGCATTAGGCAGAGAGGGACAGAGCTTGGCTGTCACAACACGACAGAAGCAGAGCTTGAGGTCTGAGCCATGGAAAGAATACCCATGACCTCTGTGAATGCAGTTCTGGTGACAGCATGGGGTGGGGGAGTTCCTGCTCTCCACCCAGTTGCCCACCCACTCTTTGCTCAGTCTAGCTTTCCCTTGACAGTCCCAGGAACCAGACATGGATTCCAGGGGCACAGGCTTTTACCGCTGTGACTTCATCATGTTTTGAAGTTTCTCTCGACAGTGGTTGATTTATTTTTGTCTCTTGTATGCATTATATACGTGTTGCTGTTGTGAGTGGTGTATTTCAAAGGACCCTGCATACCTTTGTCCACAGACACCTGGCCATGCAAGTTTTGTAGCTAAGAGAAACAGGGAGCCTTGCTGGGTTCAGGAATAGACCAGAGCACAGAGCACAGCTGGGTTTCCTTCCGAGCAGCTGCTGGTTTGGATGGTGACAGAGAAAGAACAGTGTCCTGTTTATTTAGCGGGTGACTGCTCTCTTTGCCTTTGCTTAGCCATCCCTTCTGGCCCGTGCCCCTTTAAACTCGTAAGATCCATCACCTCATTTCCACGGTTACCTTGACACACTGCAGGGTTGTGGACATACTGATTCCACAGAAGAGCAAATTAAAACGTTTCTTCATGATTAAAAGGTTAAATGAGGTAAGGCTGTGGTGGTTAGTGGGGAGATAAGGGGTTCTGAGGAGGCAGAGCTCGGGGGACTCTCGGGTGATTAGAAAATTAGGCTGGCTAGACGGAGGGATGAGGGTTTTACAAATTGCAAAGGCTGATCAGGAATAAAGACTTGAGGAAGTTATGGTGACATCTGGGTGCTGGCTCTACAGCGGGATCTGGAGCTGTAACCTACCCAGGACATAAAGCAGGGTTGTTTTGAGGTTTCTTTTTTTTTCCTTGAGAATTCTGGATCTAATTACACCAGGAAGTAACGGCCCCAAACCCGGCCATGATGACAGTGGAAGCCCCTCCTTAGAAGCTCCAGCTTTCCTTAAGCTTGAAGGTGACTCGGAGGTCAAGCTCCGTTTCCAGCCTACAGGGGCCTTTCTCTGTGTTAGTTAGTACCTTGTGCGTCACAACTGCTGTTTCTGAGGTCTGCCTGCAGTTCCATTCTCTGTTCCGACTCTAGCCTTGACTTTCTAACTCCATGACTGCTGAACTTCTGGCCCCTGAGAAGTGAACACCTAGAAAGCCGAGGGCTTTACCATCAGGCTCCCTCGGATAAATTCTGTGACCCCACTGACTTCCCAAGATTCCCTCTAACACCGCAGTTGTCTAGGTTCGAGGTCAACTTGAGTTTCTTGTCCATCACTAATGTTCTAATAGATTTTGGTCCCCTCCATCTAAATTGAGGCTCCTCATCTACTACTTGTCTCCGCTGATCCAGCTTCCATCCTTTGTTTGCAAGACCTCTGTCTGTACCAAGCAGACTAGTCCCCTCCTCATTTTTAACTGCCTTACTCCATCCGCTCCAGAGTCCCATCAGGGCTGATGCTCAATTGTGACAAAGCCTTCACCCTTAGAAAATCCAACAAGTGAACAATGCAAAGTCGGCTTTGGCTCTCCCCCATCTCCCGGACACAGTGAACATCTTAGCGTGGTACCCATGGTGGTCCACTACAGTTATCACTTATGCTTGTAGCTTTTTTTTTCTCTCACCGTCGGCATTCTGCACGGTAAGAGAGACTGACTGGTTCCTAAGAACAACCCATGTTTCCTCGTTTCTTCCATCTACAAAGAACTGCGCACACGTCTCTACCAATCAAAACATGCATTTTATCAAGCTCCGTCTCAAGTATGTATCCCCGCTCTTTCTCATCCTGGACAGGTGCAGGTGCGCCAGTTCTTTTTCTTTCCACGACACTCAGGGGGATGTCCTTAGGCTGTTTGCTGTGCTAACTTTCCCTCTTCTGGCGCTTAACACTTCTAATTTACATTGTACACACAGGTGAAGTTTTCTGTGGATAGAAACCGCTAAATACAGACCGGGAAGTGTGAGGTGGTAACGAAGCTGGGTCAGGCGGGATGTGAAGGAGTTATGTATCTCTCTCAAGTGTTCGCTGTGTGCCTGTGTGATTGGTGGTGTAATACTATGCAGAAAGCATGGATACAAAGAGTCATGTGACAAGCACTTCCCAGGGCTTCAGAAATCAAGAAGCATGTGGTAGACAAAGAATTGTTGTAATTATGCTCTGAGAAAAGGGCAGTAAGACACCTTTAAAGAAGAGAGGGGGAGGATTCGACTTCTTACCTCTGCTGGGCTGGCAGGTCCGGGTGACAGGCTGGTGGCAGGGAGGGAGTTGGGGGATTAGGAAAGGTCGCCTATGGATGGAAATGTCAGATTTGAGGTTTTCAGCTGAATGGAAGTGTGCAAAGACAGAAGGTAAGGAAGATGAAGGCTAGCCGAGTATAAGAACTCTGCTTTCAGCCGCTGGCACAAAAACTCCACCTGCTCTACAAATGATAGCTTTTCCCCCCCTGCTTCAGCTGAAATATCCTAAAAGGCAGAATCCTTTGATTCTTCTGAGAGAGAAAAAAAGGGGTACCCCCACCCCTGACTGCTGCTAGTTGGAGGCCATTCATTCTCCTTCCCTTTCTCCTCCACTGTTTTGCAGAGGAAGCCTGTGCTTGCGGTGAGCTTCATAGCCCTGTGCATCTTGCTGCTAGCCATGCGCCTTGTCAATGATGCGACTTTACCTTTGCTCCTGAACTGCTTTGGACAACCCAAAACCAAATGGATCCCTTTGTCCTACACATTCAGGCAGCCTCCTCGAACTCACTATGGATACATAAATGTGAGGACCCAAGAGGTAAGACCTGAGAGGGTTACCTAGGAGGGTATCCATGGCAACTGTTTTCCAGCAGGAGCAAGATGGCTCCCGAGTCATTTCATTTACCTGTTCTGTCCCTCTGAGAATTTTTTTGGGTCCCTGGTAACATTTTCTGTTTTCTTATTCTTAGATACTTCTGACACATGTCTGAAATCTTTCACTCCCTCCCACATCAAACCGCCAAATCACTGGCTTCCTATGGAGTTGAGGAAGCAATTACCTGTTTTCCTGGTGGTTTGAAGCTTAACATGCATGTCTTTCCGTTTAGATGCTGTGATCAGTGGCCACCGGCTGGAGAACTGGCTGGCTTTATTTCCTGTAGGTCACCTAGTTGGGGACAGCTCTTTATAGAAGCGGAGAAAAGCATTTGTCTCTTTATAACTCTGTAATCCTTAGACCTGCAGGAAAAAAAAAAGCCAAGCTGAATTTTACCATTGGCAGTGGCTGCAGAGATAATGGGATTTAGCATCTTTCCACATTTAAAAGGGTTAAAACCATTTAAACCTTGCAATCACTGAACTTTTAAATCTTCATAGCCAATTGAGAGAGAGAGAAGGGAGCTGAATACTGACAGCTAGGAAGAGCACCTTAGACTAGAAGTATGTGCTTGCTTTTGCTTGTGTGTCTGCATGTGTGTATGAGTGTATGCATTTGTGGTGTGTTTGTGTGTGTGTGTGCATGTATGTGAGAGTGGAAGACAGGAGACAGCCTTGGCCAATTTTAGGATCAGATCTTCAGGTGCCGTCCACTTTTTGTTTTGAGTTTGAGATGAGGTCACTCATGGGTATAGAACTCATCAAGCATGGCAGGCTGGCTGACCAGGGAGTCCCAGAATCCATCTCTTTCTGCATCCCCAGTACTGTGTTTGCAAGCATGTGCACCAAACCAGGCTGTTTGTTTGAGAATTTTATACACGCACACGCGCGTGTTTGTGTGTGTGTGTTTGTGTTTTGATCAGATCCACCCCAACTTGATGTATCCTTTTAAAAACTCCACAGAGTACTGCTGGCTTGATCATGTGCATACCACATCTCTGCGTGTCCTTGTGTACAATGGCCCTATTACATTCAGAAAGCACCGCTCACAGCTGTCCATCTGACCTTTCTTTACATGTGAATTCTTGAGAATTACACCTTAGATGCACATGATCGGATGGAAAGTACTTACTGACAGAGCAACATCCCTCAGCCCTATCGTCATAGTTTTACCAGCAAACATTTGTCTCATAAAGTACAGTAGGGGAAAAAAACTCAAAAACACAGTGAAGTACACTGTGAGGGAGTGAGACTGTTTGCATAGTCATTTCCATGTGATGGGCTGAGTGTGAGACACACCAGTGTTGGTGTAAAGCCCAAGCCTGTTTGAAGTTGTTGGTGACAAAGGTACAGTCCACCACTGTGTCATACCACCGAGTAGAATTTGGTGACAAGATCCTGGTGGAGAACTCTTCTGTAAATACCCTGCAGAGGGGTGCCATGCAGCTCTTTTAGTGGCCAGTGACATGCGTGAGAAGTCGGTTTCTGTGTACTTCACTCTTTGTTTCTGTATCTCCTGGATTTATAGACTGTTTATTAAACCTTTATAGTTGAGGGGAGGCACCATTAATAATATATAAATTCCTCAGAGTCTTTCTTGATGTGTATCCTCTAATTGGTTTTAAATTAACTTTTGAAAGTCTATTGCTTGAATTTGTTGAGTGTCCTGAGGAATTGATTACCTGTATTAAAATGTGTCTTTTAGAGAAGAGCTTGCCTCACTCCTGTCTCTCCTCGCCTTTATGTCTAGCTGTCACTTAATATTCTAAAACTCTGCAGTGTGGGTTAATCATGTCACGAGTGCCTGTCACAGACAGGACAGGTGGACTAAAGTGGTTCCTGAATTACACTCATGAGAAACATACCACTAGATCACGGAGCTCCTTAATTTCTCTAAATATTTATGAATCAAATTTTGTAGTAGTCTCAGCCACTTCCTCCTGTTACCATAGTTTCCTTCCTGCCTCTGTTCCCATGATGCACTGTGCCCTCTCAAACCATGAGCAAAAATAAATCCTTTGTCTCTCAAATTTCCTATTTTCAGGTACTTTGTAATAGCTTTGAGAAAAGTAACCGAGACAGTCCTCGTATTATATAAAATTACAATTAAATAAGTTATGATTTACTTAGGGTAGCCTGTACATTGATGTGGGTGTAGGTCATACCCTTTATGAGGGGGCAGCAAAGGGAGCTGCTTCCATTCTGCACCTCCACGGGTCATGACTTGAGGGTCTCAGGATATTCATTCACCTACCTCTCTCAGTTCTCTGACTTTGGTTCTTGACGATCCTGTCATCCAGTCTCGTATTAATACACTCACCCGATGGAAGGACTGCACAGATGCTATCATTTAGAAAGAACCAGTGTACAAACTTCTCAATCTGAGTGTGGATCTCACAAGGGCGTAGGTACTGTCCTGAGATCAGATACCTATGGAGGAGGATGAAAGCCAACCATTCTGATGCCCTCTCAGCTCTTTTCCAACCAGGGTAAGCTAAAGCTCCTGTTGTTGATCGAGAGGCAATCTTGAGACTCGAAATGAATAGCAGTAACTGGAAGAAGGCTGAGTTCTGAAGGTCTCTGCTGCTCAGTGGGCATGCAGCCCTTGCCAAAGCTGTGATGGAGTTGGCTGCTACCACTCTGAGGTAGCACCAGGCTGCCGTAGAGACTGGAATGATGTGAGCTTTGCAGCATATGCTGTGTCCTTGTACATCAGATGACTCATAGCCTCTCAGGCTCCTCTGCCACCTCATCACTGTCCACACACCTCAATGATAGAAGGGTTCGTCTCAAACTCCGAGACCAGAGTCCAGTATTGAGACAGGACAGGGACTCAAGCAAGAACTAAAGCAGAAGCCACTGGCTTGCTTTCCATCTTGCTCAGCCCATCTTCTTTACAGCTCAGCCAGGCTCTGCCCTGCCTAGGAAGGCTGCTGCCCACGCTCTTCCTATCAGTCACCCATCAGCAGTCTTTCACAGATATTCCCATGGGCCAATCTGATCTGGGCCCTTCTTCAATTGAGGCTCCCTCTTTCCAGGTAGTTGTGTCAGAATGACAATAAAAACTAAGCAGCATAATCCACTTCTTATCAACTTGGTACGTGTATGTAATTACCATTGTCAAAACATAACCTTCGCTTTTTTTGTTTGTCCCCAAGATATCATGGTAATGTCACACTATTAAATACAATAGAATTTCAAACATCCCATAGTATTTGAAAAATTCTAATTCAAGGCTAAACAGAAAGAGCTTTTTGTGTGGTGTGAATATGGTAGGAAAACGTTACCCCGGAAAAGCCACCTAGATCTTTTGGATTGGCTGCTTGAGAAGCAAGCATTGGGGATCAGTGGGAGGCTATAGCGAAGCATTTCTGGTTACCAGTTTCATGGCAGACATCTTCCATAGAGGTGATAGGAGAACCAGAATGTGGTGGACTTGAGAGGAAGGCTGGTGTTTGGAAGACTTCCCTCTCCCATGATGCTCAGGGAGAAGTCCAGGCATCAGAACACAGCAGCCAAGGACAGGACTGTGCTTTCCTTCTCTTAATGATTTAACTAGGCAGAAGTGCATCTCTTTAAACACAGAGACTCTTAGCCTCGAGTAGACAAAATACGAATACTTAGCATCAGTTCCTGTGACAGACAGGCCCTGCTGGTCTAGTTAGAGATGCACATAACATATTGATGTTGCAACAGAATTTCCTAAATTGTGGTTATTGTAACAATTAAGGAACAAAGCTGACTTTCTTGGCAATAAAAGAACATGCTCACCACATTCAAATAAATGCGTGCTTGTAACTAAGGCAGGCGGGAATGGGTGTTTTATGTTCGGGTATATAGGCTTTAGGTTTTACATAAGTATATGGAGAGCAATTATATGCAAATGTATTCTCCCCAAAATTTAAAACGATCAACTTAATTGTTAGTTAAAATTTGAGGACTCCCATTTGTGTAATGGTAAATAACAAGAAATTTCAGCTCTTAATTTGCTTTACAGAAAGAAACAAATTAATGCCTAGTAAAGATTGCTTATTTGACACGTACACATTATCATTTTTCCAATGGCTTGAGGGCATGTATTTGTTGAGTACAGGAGGGATGATTTTATTTCTCACACAGGTTGTGAGACAGCAACTCTCAATCAAAAAACACATTTCAAGACCAAGTATGACTAAATACAATCGAGAAGGTGGGGATAACATCTCTGAGGGTTGAGACAACTCCAGGATAATTTTGTGGCATATGAGATGGGTACCATGATGCTTAGTTTTAATTGTCAGCTTAACAGAATCTAGAATCACCCATGAAGACAGTCTCCATGAGGGACTGTGAAGACAGCACTGATAGGTGGCCATGCCTGTTTTCCTATTTAGGTTAACTCAGATGGGAAAACCCATGCTAAATGTGGATAGCACCATTTCATTGGCCGAGCCCTGGACTTGGTGTATAAATTCATCCTTCCTCTGCTCGTGGCTGATCATGCACTTTGACTATCAGCCTGCATGTCAGCCTTGACAATGGAGTGCCCGAGCACTGCTGGCAAGCCGCTCAGGGAGGAAAAACACAATCCATGACAGGAGTCCAGACCTGTGTTTTTCCAGATGAGAAACAGCAGGCTGTGGGACAGATGCTGTGGTTGCTGGCCTCCTGTGTACCCAGGCACCACTGGGGACTGAGGCGAGTTGGGGATGGGTCTGTCAGTCCATGCTTTTCCTGGGTGTCAGGCAGGAAGTGGACAGAGGTCAAGCCCAGTATGGCTCTGAGTGAGTGCCGAGAGTATGGAGAAGCTGGCTGGAAGAGAGAGGGCCTTCTCCTGGAGAAGATGAGCCATTTCCAGATTTTCATTGTATTTTTCTTTGTAACAATGTTGGCCAGAGCTATGTTTTCTTAGGGTGGTAGAATACTTGGAATATGAGTCTCTGGATGTCTTATCATATCCCCGGA